CTGTACAAGTATTTTATAGGAATATGCATAGTGGGAATGAAGTTAATTTATAAGCGTAGCCTGCAGATTTTAGATCAGAGTTACAGAGAAATTAGCAGCAAGGGAAAATGCTGAGCCTTCACAGCTGTCCTCCACCTGCACCGTGCTCCATCCATCACGCTGCTCAAGCAGGGCAGAGGTGCCCTGGCAGCTTGTGATGCCATTCACCTCCTCCTCCCTCGTAGCACTGTGCTCAGCCCCAAGTGAGCGTGACACAGAGCAGTGGGCACACACAGCTGCTGGGAAGGTGTGAAACAAGCAGCAAGTCAGCGACTGCTCAGCATTCAGCTGCAGGCTGGGGTCACATCATTGCACACCAACTCATCTCCAGACCACAGGGCCAACCAGCATCTGCTTGTAAAACTGTATCTTTTTCATTTAAAGTAATAATAACCAGCAATTAGACACTTACTTTGATTGGAAAACATACAGTCGTGCCTATTCACGGGTTCAGTTGAAGGACTGTCTGCACTGCTATAAAAGAAACATTTTCTTTCCCTCCTACAATCACTCAGCACTGAACCAAACACCCTGTACCACTGCTGTACCTCTGCAAGCATGAAACAAACAATGATGTATGATGAGGAGGCTCATTTAAACAAGCTGTTATCTGTGTAATTACTTTTTTTTTTTTAAGTAAAGACTAATAACGATAACAAACTGTGCAGGTCAGGCTTTACTGCAAGATGAGTGGTTCCAGCAATGAGCAGTCACCATTGCATTTAGTAAAGTTGCTTAATTGAAGCTAATTTCACTAAGTGACCTTAACGAATAGCTATTTCCCTTCAAGATGACAGAATGATTGATGCTTCATTTAAGGCACAAACCTTCTATTTTTTCCCCCCTTCATGACTCAACTTTGAAGCACAAACTCCTGAATGTCCTTTTATCCAAAGACTCAAAGGGCTGTGTGTGGTGACAGCCGACCTAAGAGGTGCTTTTCTATTTGCACACACAAAGGATATTACAGTCAGCAACTGAATACAGATTCTCTCTGTCTGAAAGCAGCACACTGAGGCTGCCCAGCCTTCATGCCATGGGGCCACAGTGGAGTCTGAAGAACCTGCAATGGAGAAATGGAATAGTCTGCTTTCACTCAGTACACTCAAAATTAGCATTATCATTAAGATAATGGTTGTAAAAACTTGTTCTCAACTCACGTATCACCAAGTCTAACTCAAAGACATCTCTAAAGAGAAACTGCAACCATTAGACTTCTGCACAATGTCCTTATGTAACTAGGATCACTTGGAGGAGGACATCACCAGTTATGGTGATTCTATTCTGCCTCGTTTTCTGTTTTACTGGCCATCAGCAAACAACTAAATGCTGCTCTAGAAAGCCTCAGCAACTTTCTCTGTGCATGGCACACTTCTCACACCCAGCCCAGCTCCCAGGAAACCTCAGCAGCATTACTTACTGGTGTCAAGGGAACCAGGCTCCTGAAGTTAACTACAGGAGTTAAAGCAAGTGAGATTTTCCCAATTAGGTCAGCAGACACAAGGCCCCAGATTTATAGTTCTCTGCACTAATTTTCCATGGAACTTAACCAGCAAACTCCACCAGAGTTCTTTCCAGTGGTATCTAAACTGGCCACAACAGAGAACAACACCAGATGAAGGCATCTTGACTTGAACAGGCACACAATGACAGAACCACAGGGTGGTTGGAGCTGGAAGGGACCCTAAAGGCCATCTGGTGCCACCCCTGCACTGAGCAGGGACACCCACAGCTCCATCAGTGCTCACAGCCCATCCCTGACCTCGGCTGTCTGCAGGGATGGGGACAACACAGGAGGGCCTTTACTACCACAGGGACCTCAGGAGAAGTTATGATTTTCTTCCCCTCAAATAACCCCCTTCTAATTTAGCTGTATCAGCAGAAGTTTTATTATAAACATCATATTCAGAAAGAGCTATTTATAAATGCTTCTCTTCCTTATCTCAACATTCTTATGTAGATTGTACCAAATGAAATGAACACAACAGAAATAAAAGCACATTGCTTAGTTACAAACAAGGGCTAAAGCTGCAGAAGTTCTCTTTGCATACATTCATATTATATCAGAAGGAAAACCAACTGACAAGACAGAAACGTGGATCTGCTTATATGATATGCATGAAAGACTAATTCATAGCAGCATCTCTGGCACTCAGATGTCAGGAATATCAGTTTTAATTTCCTCTTAGCATTTGTTTGAAGAACTTGGATGTGATATGTCCGGATATTAAACCTCAATAGTAACATAAAAGGATAAGAAAAAAGATTTTTCAAATAAACTCAAGCAAATTAATATATAATTTCACTTATAAAGATAAAATCCCTAACATTAAACCAAACCATGATACCATAAAAACAGCAGAAGCCCTTTTTTCCTCCCAAATCCCAATGAAATGAACAGTAAGCTCCCAACTCACATAAACGTGGAATTGTTCAAAAGCCAAGGAGGTAAAATGAATGGGGACCATCAGGGCTGGTAAATACTGATAGGAAGATTAAGAGTTGGAATGTTGACAGCTGCCAGCACTGCCATTCTTTAGACTGCTATGCCAAGCATTCTAACCATTATGTACAGCTGTGTGGATTTTTTTTTATTACCCAACAAATCACGGAAATAAGTGAAGAAACAATCATGTGTCATGGCTTGATCAACTGCAAACCTTTCCTTAAGATCAAAAGTTTAAAAGTTATACAGTTAACAGCAAATATATATATTGACATATATTTATCTCTCTCAATTTCTTGTAAAACTTGTCACAGAGCAATAATACTTCAGTGACCCAAACAGCTTTATGACATTCTCTGTCATGAAGTCAGACCAAACAGAACGGGGAAAGGGAAACAAAGAGAAACCTGATTTACAGAAGTACCACAAGTGCACAAAACCCAATTCATCAGTATCCCTGATTGCCAGCCTCAAAAGGCTTGCTGAAACCACACCAGATTGCTGTTTTTCCTGAATTTCTAATAAAAAAAAGTTGATATAATTCTTATGCCACAGATGAACAATGCAGATTCATTAAAACAGATCGATTTTAGGAGTAAACTCACGAGAGCTGTTATCCAGCTAAAATGAAGCAGTGTTCACTTTCAGTTACTCATTACTACAAGACCCAGAAATGATTCTCCCTCCCATGCACTGTAAGACAAAGTTGTTTCCTGCAAGCTTTGCCTTCTCTCGTTCATCTGTGTGGGGAAAACAAGTCTCACAAACAATCAGAGAGGAAAGTAAGTGCCTGCATCTTTAAGAAGATTCTTTATCCCTTTTATATTTGAGAGAAAAATACAGATACGTAGCAACAAGAGAACCGTAATCACTGCCAGCATCCTACCATCTATACATTTTATGGTGCTCTGTCTACAAACAGCATACTTCACATTACAGGATAACAGGGGTGGATAAGAGCATTTGAGTGCTGCTACTCGCTTTTCGTAATTGAATACCAAACTCCTTCTCAGTTTGCCTGACAAATTGGAATGGCTTCAATAACCCCTCACTCAATGTGTACCCTCACCTCATTCTTCCACATCATCCATTTACATCTCCTGGAAATACACAAAGGTTTTCCTGGCTGTCTTCAGATTTCTTTGCTTGCCAGTTGTTCAGGTGCCTTCTAATCCTCCCGCTAACAAGTTACTAAACTTACAGCAAGAAAACCTAGAGTGAATTTTAAATCTCCATACACCTCTAAAATAATCTTCCTCTGCTGTCACATTATGCACGAGGACAGCTGTGCTTCATGGGAGTAGTGTTTTATATGCTCTGCAAGAACAGAAGTGACAGCAAATGTCACAGGAGACACCATACTCCCTCACCAAGTTTAACCTTGGGCACACCTATGTCTGTATGACACGCAGGAGCTACTAATGCATACTCCAAGTCAATATTTTTACTTGTCTTTGAAAATATGACAAGACATTTGCATTCTGACTGTGCATGAAAAGCTTGGGAAATGGTACTTTTCTAAGAATAGTTACATGGAGTGTCTAAAAAACTCCCACCTCGCTCAGTGTTGTTTATCTGCTCTCAGCTGCATCTTGTTTATCTGCTAGATGGAAACAAAACTGCAAGTACAACAATGTCACGCAGACAGCTAAAAGCAAGGTGGGATGTACTTGCTGAGTACAGGAGATCACCATCTACAATTGTTCCAGATTAAAATTTAGTTGCCATGCCATTCAGCTTGTTTTCACATTTGGCAGAATGAGATTACAGTACAGTCTTCCCTAAATATACTGAAGGAAACAGCTGACATCAATCTTCTCAGGTATTTTTAGACCGTGCAGTAGAATAAACACCACAAGATGATTCTTACAGATCACATTCTGACTCCAACTGCACTTTTAAGACATATCTTTGAGAACACTCCCATCACTGAAGCTTTCATCATGATCTGTGAACTGAAAAGAACTGTTGGGATGACTGGGAGGGAAGCCTTGTAGCCCTTCATGTAGCATTACCCTGAGAAGGTGACAGCAGCTGCCCCACTGCAGCTCTACTCTGGGAGATGCTGGATGAAAGGCTGGTTTTGTGTCCTGGAGGTGACTAAGTAAAGCAAATTGTTCCACACAAGGATTTGAGAACTTTCAGGTAAAAGAATAAGGCAACATTTCCTGCAGAAATATTCAACAATTAGATATGCAGGAAAAAAAAGAATCAATGATGTGAATTGATTGCTCGGTTTTACAGACGTGTTCTGCAATACATCATAGAAGTACTGGTCATTCAGTGGGAGAACTTAATGTTTGCAGAACTAGGATATAGGTAAAATAATTTAGGGAGAGAAAGAAGAAACTAATTCTGTAGTGGATGACAGTGAAATTAGGCAATTACACATTCAGGAAGATATGGCTCAGAACAAAATTGTTCAATACATCGATCTCTATTTCCTTCCATTTCTAACACAGGATTTTTAAGAACACGCATACCACGCTCAGTTGATTAAAGCAAGGAAAAAGCCTTTCAGACTCAGCATTTTCTCCTCCTGTATTTCATGTTCAGTTTGAGGGATGGTGATTTATAGTAGCTTCCTCCATCGTAATCTCTTCAACCTGATCCTTCCACCTTCTTGCATCACTTGTCAATAAATGTGCTTGTGCTCTTCCTTATAGGTGTGGGATACTGAGATCAAATGCTGCTGTAGTCAGAGCCACGGGCAAGTAATGCTGCTGCCTTCCACTCCACTGCAAAGAAGGTAATTGTCCCAAAGAAACCAACAACCACCATGATCAGGAGCTGCCACTGCAGAAGGAAGTAGTTGCTGTAGAAATATGCAACTGCAGCACAAATGGACTGATAGGGGAAAAAAAAAAGTGAAAGATTTTAAGTGGAGATATCCACTCCAGCACTGCTGCACAGGGTTGTCGAGCTGGTAATACACACAGTTTAGCATGCATCTTTAAGTATGCTTCTTTCAAAGATACAGCAATCAAACTTCATCATACCACAGCATATGTCTCTACATGATATACAACAGATTTAGTTTTTACTTATTTAAATAGTGTTCACTACAGAAAATGAACACATTTGAAAGCATTTGAAGCATGGCAAGCACAGTTCTCCTCTATTTCAAAGCATTTTGTCTAGAAACAATACAGCCAAGGCTTTAGGACAAAATCCAGAAAACCTATTTTCAGTTTTCCAGCATCACAAACTATTTTCTACCAAAACATAGCTAGAAACTTGGACAACCACTCCTGCTCACTTGCAGTGCATCCTTTTTAAGGGTAAAAATTTCATTAAAGCTTTACAAAGAATATTCCCACACTTATACATTCATAAGGTTACGTGATGTAATACCTGAACAAACTTAAAGATGGCAAAGGCAGGAGCACTGTCTTCAGAATACAGGAATCCTAAAATGCTGAGGAGTTGGGTATTGAAGCAGCTGTCTCCCAGGCCCAACAGAAAGCTGCAGAATATGGCCACCTCTTTGCTGAAGGAAAAATTCAATCAAATGTAAGAATCACTCATTCAAGCAGCTCACTGACTAATGCATGAACCTATGAACTACTTTTGACAGATTTACTTGGAAATGGAGTAGGGAAGAAAGTTACCAAACTTTAAATTTCATTGGAGAAGAAGTGGGAACACTTGGCTGGCAAAAAGTATAATTTCATCAGATTTTAATTCCTTGAATGCTAAGGCTCTGTTAGTATTACCAGCAGTCAATTCTACAATGAATTAGAACTGCTAAAATCTCATTTTGATGCCTGGAGTCATAAAGCCCACACAGCAGTGATCAAAAGCCAAGACACATACAGTGAATTCAACAGAGCAGCAGGAATATGAGGAAAAGACCAATTCATTCAGAAAAATACTCCTATTAAAAAAATAGTCCCATGTACAGGCACAAAAGCTAATCACTGCAGCTCAGCAGCTGTGCCTGCACAAACTGACCACATTACTTTCACACAAATTAGCACAAATACACCCCCAAAACAGGTTGCAGTGAAAAGAATGCTCCCTATATTCTTCCCCTAACTAACAGACTTTGGACTTGGATAAGGAGCATTCAAAGATGTATAGTGTAAAATTGGTGCTCTAAGCTATACTAAAAATGAGCCCAATTTCCTGACAGCTAGCACAACAGTTGTTGTTTACAACTGTAAGAGTTATGTTCTCAAACAGTATAATTGCTACCAAATATCCTCATGCTTTTTATTCTTACACCATTTAAGTCCCTAAATTGAGTACGTACCAGAAAAGCTGTTTCAATGAGTTTTCTATGAGAGGTACAAGCTGTTTTATATGCATCTTGAGTTATAACAGCCAGACTGAAGAGCTTACATACCTCGGAATCATGTAAGCAACATCATCTGTTCCTTCCATAGGAGCAACAGGGGCATTGCTTGGCATGTTGACAAAAATTAAATAAAAGGCAATGAAGTGGACAATGATGCCTAGCATCACAATGGGGTTCCTGCCAAAGCGACTCTTCTTGCTCAGTAAACCAAAGATTCCTCCACCTGTAGGAACGGAAAAGATGGGAGATTTACATCAGAAACAAAGATACAAAGAACAGGATTGAATTCAAAGTAACGAAAATTAAAAATAGACTGAAAATATAGGTTGTAAATACCCCTGTGTTTAACAGCTGAAGCCCTGACAGACAAGAAAGCAGCCCTAAAGTGTCTGCAAGCTCTGCCACACCAGCTCTCCTGGTGACAGAACCTCTGGGTTGCCAGAGGTGTCCAAGACATGCAGGCACATTTCTCAGGTGGATGCTGATGAAGGCACTTAGTCTTTTCACAAGGTGTCGTGCCAGGACTTCTGTTTCCTCCTCACAACACTATGAAGTGAGGAGGGATGATGTTCTGCCTAGCTTTGTTGATTGCAAAAACGTGCCTCTCTGTGAATCCAAGTTGCTCATCAGCAAATATTTCCTTTTGACTCACCTAAAATTTCTCCAACACCAATAAAAATCCCAGAGAGACCAATAAGGCTTTTCTCTTCGCTGCCAAATCTATTCACAGCACCAATGCATGTTCCATACACTCCAGAAAAGAATGTTAATTCCAAACCTTTGAAGGAAAGCAAACAAGATTGACAAATGAGGGCTTTCTTCATAAGCTTTGCAATGGTTTTTATCTAAATATTTTTCCCTCAAGTAACTTTCAAATACATATTTTAAAGAGGTAAGTGTAACAGAAGCAAACAAGAGGAGTTTTAAGCTATATAATCATTATACTTTTCTATGTTAGCTCATGGAAGCAATGTAAAAAAACATGCCACATAATTAGCATCAGATGCACTAAGGCTCAGTACTGCTGCTGTTGACACAATTCCTATAAACAGTTTGTATTTCTGCTTCTCCAAGAACTTTGGAATTTCATTCTGTGAAATAGCACTTAATAACTGAGGAAATGAAACAATTTCACTTTAAGTTTTTTTTCCCCCAGATTACAGTATTTCTGAGAAAGATCCCTGCACCCCCAAATCCCAAACAAGAGGAGTTCTTAGCTCAACTGCTCCTTTCCCATAGATGCATAATGAAAGCAGAGCAAGAACAACTACTTGTTAGAAATCTTTCTTTCTACTGCTGATACTGAAAGGTGACACATTTAAGTCCAAAATAAGGAACTATTAATCTGAAAAAATCACAGTGTCTTAATAGCAATTCTATTTACAAGAACCCAAGTGTAATGCTTAAAGAAAAACAGAAAATAGAACTCTCATTCCCCTCCTCTGTCTTTTGCTATTGCAAAAACACAGCATGCCATACATTGGTCTACCAGCAGCAGACTGCCTAATGCTGTATGCGACCTGCAGAGCCTCAAAAAGGAACGAGCTCTCAACAGTCTGATTAATCAAACCATACATTTTGGAAGTAAAAGCTTGTGCCAGTCCTACGGGACTTCCTATTTTCCCATGAAGTGGCAATATGAACCAGGAGCCACCAGATGGCAGCAGGCAGTTCTGCCAAGCTGGACTGATTCTTTTCTACATAACCTTCCATACCAATTTCAAATTTCATCACACAAGACCCCGTTCTCTTGCCTGGTTATCTTGTTTCACATTCCTGTTGCACTGAACATCTACAAGGAATTCAAGTTTTTTCATGTGGGTTAACATAAAAACCGAAGCCAAATAAGTAGAAAAAACCCTCAACAATCCTCTAAGATTTTGAACCTTTTTATAGCCTTTTTGTGGAATAACTGCTTTCATATATGGTAAAAATAAATGCACTTTCATTCTACAGCTCATACTTCGGTCTAACAATGGCAGATCAGGCTCAACTGAAGTTAGTGAAGAGAGTTCCTGCCACAATAAATACCAATGGCAAAAATAGTAAAAAAAAATGGTTTAATTTGTACCCAGTAGAACCAAGACTAACTGAAGACTATTAGTAATGCCCTATACCTCATTATAAGCCTAACAGAGGCAATAATGGAAATGTCATCTGCAAAAAATTTAACTGAACTGTAGTTGCACTAGACATAATCCACAACCTACCGACAGTGTAATGCCTGCTACATACATTTTGCCTAAATCTCAATTTGGGTGACCCCAAAGTGGACTGAACAGCATATTATTACATCCAGTAGTGTCAGAGTTAGGTACACCTCTCCTCCCACATAGGAACACTTTCCAGAACGTGGAATAATTCATTCAAAGGCACCTGAAATATTCAAGTTCTGTTTGCAGAGACACACAAATCACAACTCTGTGGTCAATGTTTAGAACTCCAAACGATGCCCAACAGTGCTGCACAATCACACACTGTGCTTGCTTCATACCTGTGTAGGCTGTTGTAACACTGAGGAGCAGAATCTCTTTCGTGAAGCTTAGCTTTATAGATCTCTCTGGAAAGACAAAAAGGAGATGAATATAACTTCCACTAACACTACTAAGAGCACCTGCAATTTCTCTGCTCTCTGCTTAAACCAAAAATAAGTTGAAGTTATTTCAACTGTGACTTTCTTGCAATAAGAAAATTATAGAGTGCTAAGCACACAGACCTTCATTTGCACTTTAAAAAAACAATTTGATCTCAAATCTTTTTGTAAGAAATGCAAGGATGGAAATATTAAAGAGGGAGATGTGCAGTTTTCTATCAGCAATTTATTCTTTGTTGTATTTTTGTACTCACTGTTCATGGTGATTAACTCCTCTAAGAACATTTTGTCCATGAAGATGTCCATGATCTTAAAACAAGCAGTCACTGATAGACCATATCAAACTCTGAGGGAACTAGTCAGTTCAGTTCAAAAACATTGATTTAAAGTGTTACCACCTGGTGACAAAAAGTAATATGCAGCTTCTCCTTTATTCTGTTTTTTTTTTTGTTGTTGTTTTAAAAACTGGAGAAGCCAATTTAACTTTCATTCACTAGCTTTCCCTAGGGGTGACCTGTTGTTTTTGAGCTTGTCTGTATAAGGAATGCATTGTAAAGTAGCTTGGATATCAAACTCAAATTTCTCCTGCACTATACTTAGCACAGAGGTGATGTCTGTTACACTTTCTTTGCTTGCAGACAGACTTTGGTTGTATGATACCACCATGGGAGAAACACTCTAAAGTTCAGCCAGTCACCTCACACCAGTTACACATCAACAGCAATCTGTCCACAACTTCAGCATTTCCAAGCTTTTCCACTTGCAAACCTTGTTTATGCTTGACTCAAAGTCACGAATGTTCACACAGAGAACTCAGTTCCTATCAGGCTCAAACCTCATCAGTCCCAAATCAATACATGAACTGTCATCTCTAGTCTGAAAATCATTGCCAGTCTCTTTCCCCAAAGGCCAGACCTGAATTTCTGTTTTCAAATGCAATAACTGAAATGCATTCTTAACCTATTTATCTGCAAATTTTTGTTTGTTGAGTGATTTGTACATTTTCACATATCAGCAGAACCACGGAGAGCTGGAAAGGATTTGTCAGGATTTTTTGAAGCAACTTGTATGTTCAACAGTACTTACTGAAGGCATCCACTGCTCTCATCAGTTTGTTTTGTGCAGACCTGGGTAAATAAATGACTTAGTCAAAAAAGAAAATTAATAACCACTTTATATCATTGCACTGAAGGCAGATGAGTTCATTCTTCAAAGTGTCTGTACATTTTTTTTTTAGGTCTGTATTATGTACTGAAATATGCTAACGCATTGTTAAGTGTTTGAGACTCTAAACTACTGACCACAAAATGCATTTGGCTTTCTGAGCCAGTGAACACCATTTAAAATTTAACCTAAGAGACTTCCTTCTGAGCAAATTTAGAAATGGTTAGCATTGAACATTTTCACTAGCACACACTTGTTGACATTTTTCTAATGTTATTTTAATAAAACAAAAATATCTAATATGATGCTTCAAGCAAAACTGTGCTGTGTCTGCCTACCTATACACTTCTAGTGTACTCAGAAGTTGCATCTAAACATTTTGAAACTATATGATAAATATATTAGTATGAAAATATAACTTAGAAAAAGGATGGGAATAATTTCTGCTCATTCCAGCCCTTAACCTGGACTGATTAGGAAAAGAAAGATTACAAAAGCCAGATGCACATTTAACAATCAGTGGAGAAAAAGAGGTAAGTAGTATCTTTCCAAAGGCACTTACTCATTAATGGAAAAACTTGATGTGCATTACCTCAATCCATCCTTGAAAACGTCATATGCAGAACATTAATTGATTCTCACTTGTTCAGATACAGACACTTTTCTATCAAAAGTGTACATTCTACAGGTTGTTCATAATGTTCAGGCTTCCAGTTCAGAGGGGAAAGTGAAACTGACACTCCATTAAGAAGCAGGGACACATAAGTATATGTGACAATAAATTATTATTGCAAGCACTTACGAGCTGTCCCCAAGGATTTCATTAGTAGAATCTTCCTCCCCTGGAGCTTTTGTGTCCTCTTGTTTCCTAATCAGAAAGAACAGAACTGTGCCCACAAGACTGATAACAGTCAGGGCAATGAAGACAGTTCTGCGATCGCTCTCTGGAAAAACAAATTAAAGTCATAACAAGACATGTAAAAGCAATTCAAAGTCAGCTACCTTCAAAGAACTAATACAAGCATAATTCAGAGCAGTGTTTGAAATGCTTACTGATTTTCTACGTTACCTTGCATGTGGAACAAAACGAACACACTTACTGGTAGATTCCTATCTCATTTTCACGATGCCAATAAAACATTGGCATACTAAAGAATGTTACTTGCATTTCCTGCCATGCAAAGACTATGACCAGGGAGGAGCCAGTTAGCAATGAAAGTGCATAAATTATTAGCAGGAAAAAAATACATGTTTCAAGGGATGTATAATTCAGAACAGACATAGGAAGCTACCCCAAAAGCCCGCAGATATCTAAGAACTTGTTCTTTACCAGATATTAGCACTGTAACATCAGTTATTAGAATTGTATACTACAAAGGCCTTAACAGCATTGATACCTCAGTAACTGAGGCAGCATACAGTGTGTTACTGGAGGAAGGTAATTGGTTCCCTCTGCACCAGCTCTGGTGCACCACCCAACTTGTCTGGCAAAGGAAACTCTGCAGTACCAAAGTTATTCCTATTTGCAAATTAGGCAGAGAAAAAAAAATGCTGAAACTGCTAACAGTTGTGATTGAACCAGTGAACAAACACAAAGACATTGCCTATGCTTGTATTTAATGGACTTTTGCTTAAAGGCAAACAGTAAATTGTTCTATCTCAATTAAAAATAACCTGTGCATGATTATGGATCAAGAAGAAAATGTGCCTCATCTTGAAATGCCTGTAATACAGACAGTAAAAAGGAGAAACTAATTTTCAATTGCTATCAGAGCTTCTAATACTAACATCTAGCTTTTAAAAAAGAAAAGTCTCAAGACATTTCAACAGTGTTTTCCATTTAAAAATGCAAGTAGTCATAACAGCAGAACTCCCTCGTTCTATTTAATGGCTGCATTCTGTGGTTATGAAATTTAGAAGGTACAGAACTTCAAGGCCTCCATGAGAGAATGTGGGAGCTGACTTTTAAAAATTAACCTGTGCTGTGCTACCAAGCCCAGGTCTATGGAGAACCTGAGAGACAATGCATTTAACAGAGGCATGAAGTGGAACAGAGGGAGCACTCCTGAAGCCTGATAATTACCATTTAGATTCAATGCCTTATTCCTGAATGACTATGCTAGAAAGTGGCACCTGTATATTTCTGTTACCATCTTGCCACAAACAAGTAACACCCACCTGATATGTAAGTTTTTCCTTGCCAAGCAAAGTATATATACAGGTTTCCAAAAAACAAGCTGTAAACAAAAAGAACAGCACAGGTGAACTTTTCATGGTAGGATTAAGATCACAGCACCACAGTAACACAATTCTATGCAAAACCAGTACTGCACAATTGTGAAAGAATAAGAAAGCAGCCATTCCCCATGCAAACTGTTTATTCTGCAAACAAAGGAGAGTATTTTTTGCCCTAATGCTGGCTATTTCTTCTTAGGAATCAATACAGAACAAGATAATAACAAATGAACTTAAACAACATTTCTTATCTCTCTCACTGTTTTTGGAAGGGTGTAGCTTAGAAAGATGATGCATGTATAGAAATGAATTTGTAGTACTCCCCTAGAAGAGTCATGTGTCTTGTCTGAAATATTAGTTCAGCAATACTGAACTGGCTGTTAACAGGTTGGGGAAATTCTGTTTCTACATACAGTTCCCTGAAATACATCAGCTCAGAATGAATGGTGACTCAAAACAGCCTTAGAGTGAAATTTCCTCATCTCAACTCATACATTCTACTCACTATAAAACACGCAATTACTTGAGTTTGTGGAAATCAGGACTTTGCTACACCAAGACGTTAATTAATCCCAAAACACGAAACACAAGCAGCACACCACTGTTTCACACTGCTGTTCCATTAATGCAGCACTCTGTCTCCACACAGCATCAGCAATGCCATTTAGAGCAAGCTCATCAGCCTACCACCGTGACTCATCCCCCACATTATTTCTCAATATCCAGAAGCACTGTATTAGCAGCATAAGAGGTATCTGCCTTCAGGATACATTTGTGGTCCTACTATCAGTGAATTTGATCTCTTTTCAGTCTTGCTGACATTATCCAACTCCAAACCCTCCAGCAGGAGGGAATTCCAAAAGGTTTTCACCCATCATATGAAAAAAGCAGTTCACCTGTTCCAAACTAATCTTTACCTAGTTTCAACACATTACCTGAGCTCTAGTACAGCAGTTCTTGCTAACAGTTCCACATTCTGCTCAACTGCCACCTTCCTGTTCTCCTAGCCCATGAGTAAAACACTCCTCATTTTACTTCCTCTCAAAACTGTCCCAGTCTTTTTTATTCTCTCTTCAAATCAACAGCTCCGTTTTCATGCATGTTTCCATCATCTTTTCCTCCAGCAAAGTTCCAGAGCAAGTAGAGGCCCAGCACTGAAGTTAAACAGGGCTCTTGGGCAGAGGTGAGATGGATACATGGCAAGGCCATTCAGGGTCACGAGGGCTCATCAATATGCTCATGATACCAGTGCAAAACAGCTCTCCAAGACCAAGATATTTGCTAAATGCTCCCTGAACTAATATGTATCTTTTTAGCACGTCAAGAGCAAAGACTTGCCATAGGAAACTTTCATTCACTGTCTTATAATGCACAACAGCTTTAGAAGTTTTGCTCCAAACTCTCCACTTCATTGACTGCAAAATACCAGAAACAAACAAACAAACAAACAAACAAACAAACAAACAAACAAAAATCTGCTTACTCTCAAAAGGCCTCACATAAGCAAAGATCTCTGGCAAGATACCCTCATCTCCATTGCCGACCCTTAAATGAGGTCTGGGAATGGATGGACCCTGGCTCCACCCCTTCTGCTCACTCAGCTCCACTGCATGCACCTGAGCTCCCCTGGATTGGCCTTGCCTTCTCACCAGGTGCTCTATCACTGCTTCAAGTTGTGACTTGCATTTCCACTACTACAACTAAAAAGCTATTACTTAAAGCTTACCTGGACTGCAAGAGTGCCCAAAATACTCCACTGTTCCTTCCAATGGTGTTTTCATCAGAATTTATAGTCAAGCAATTTCCCTGTGCCGTCCATAGTACTGAAATGTGCAAAAGATATTGGTCAGGAAACAAAAAGTACATTCAAATAGAGCAAAGAACAGTGAGCAGAATAAGAGCAATGCTTACCTGCAGCTGCAATGCCAATAAAAACAGAAGCAGTATAGAAACTCCACGTAGAAGGTTGGATAAAAACTGCAATGTATAAGCTAGAATAGAACAAATAGATCTGTTTATTGAACATAAAACAAAGTGGAACGTGCTCTTTAAGAAATAGCTATCTTACTTAGCTTCTCCTATGTCATCCACTCTCACCCAAGGCACCATGCAATACAGTTCAGGTTATGTAAAAAAAAAAGGTAAGCTTTTTACTCCACCAAGAATGTAGACTTTGTTTATGTAGTCAACAACCTGAGACCACAACATGAACTCAACAGTCAGCAAAATCTGAAAATGATGAGAAAAAAAACACAGTTTCCAGTAGGCTTGAAGTGCCCTGAAGTTACCTACTGATACATGTAGCAGCTCAGCATGGTGCTCTCCATAGCCAGTACAATTTTGTATTTGGTCCTGCACTTCCATGTGAAAAAAAGATATTTCAAAGAAATAAAAAATAATACTTACCTATAAAATATGCCACTAATAAACATGGAGAGTTGAGGTCCTACTAGTGCAACCACTGAAGGTGAGATAAGGTTTGATGCTGAGAAAACTCCATAAATAATGGACATACTACATAAATAAACAACAAAGATAGTAAAGTACTTAAAATAAAACACAGGTTACAAATTCAGATTGTTTAAGAAGACTGCTCAGTTGATTCCAAAGTATCAAAATATATGTAAGCAACTGCCTCATTTTTATATTCAAACATTTCCTTCCTTTGTGTTGTTAACTGCCTCCAACCATTTTACTCCATACAGAAACACTCAAGTGTAGTGTATCTTGCACTGCTGAATCAAGTCCCAAGCCACTGCAGGCCAACACATCTTCTAATTTATGACAGGGTTTTGTCAAACTGTGCCTTAACAAGTTTCTCTTTTTTGTGCCTACTACTTCTAAAGGACAATGTACCAAAACCACTTTCTTCTATTAGTGAGCTTTTTATCTTCTGTCAAATGCGCCGTAAAAACTGTATAGATATATTTTGTGGTAGCTGTATTTTTAGTTTATATTAAGACAGTAAACCTTTCAAAGCAGCAACTGGGTTTTCTTATATGACAGATCAATTTGGTTTACAAAAGCTCCCTGAGCATACTTGGTGTGTCTGGCCAAGTCAGTGCAATAAACATTCAGAGTGGTATTTTACAGCTGAAAACCTTGCTTCTCTTCTTGTCTTTCTGGTTGCTTCTTTCCCAACTATGTTGCAGTATTTCCTACAAGTTGATCCAAACCACCTATATACCACACAAAGGCACAGAAGCAGATGGGGCAAACAACCAAGGCCTTAGCAGTTTTTTGTCTTTTTAAAAAATTTCCACATTTATTTAAATTTACTGAGATAAAAAGCTGAGAATGTGATGACTGGATGGCAGTTTTAGTTTTACAAAGAACATACACAAAACAATCACGTAGCTCAATTAGAAACAAGTAATTCAGGCTAGGACTGAATGTGAGAGCCATGATTTAAATTGCTTTAAGTATGCCATTAAATTGTGAAGCCAGCAGGGCACTAGAATCTCTTGAGAGTATATCTCTACCAGATGTAATTATAACTAGCTTCACCCTGCAAGGAGCAAAGTAGTAAGAAAATATGTGTGAGTTACCTTGTGTAGCCACTGCCATGAAAATCTGTGCTGTTTAAATTTGTAATAACTGTTTGCTGTGAGGAGAAATCATATGCAATATTGTTAGAACTTCTTCAAATCATTTGCAACAGATTGAAGTCAGTGCTAAACATCAAAAATTATCACTAATAGACTCTACTTAAAGCATTAATTACAGCTGACAATGTCTCCACAATGAAGATGACGAAGATATTAGGCAGGGAAACATCTGTCTGAAGCAGTAATAAAGATTTGGGAATTATATCCTGATTTCACCAGAGATCTTACAGTATTTCACAGAACTTCTGTTTCACAAAACACTTCTCTTAGGTAGCTACATATTACTATCTTCATCTAAATAGCGGGGGAAAACAGGCTGAAGATTCACTGTATTCTTAATTTATCCAAACTTCAGCTTCAGCTGTACTCTAATTTCAGCTAAGAGTTTCCATCCTTTCAGTCTTTCCGTTAACAGCTTGTTCCTTTTTTTTCCCCTTGAATCAGCTTTAGTGATCATGAGACCATGTAATTAGCTGGATTGTCTGGCAGATCTGATTGAAAGTCACTTTTAATGACTTTAATGACAATACATTACATCACTGCATGATCACTAGGCCCAATTCAGTGAGGTGCTGCACATTCATTGCATCGCAGAACTTAATCACTGTGCTGTATAATAATTTAACAACAACTGTTGTAAGCAATTATTTCTACAGTGTAGAGAAGGACATTTAGATGTTCGAACTCAGAAAGAATTCTTCTTAATGTGCAAGAACAGAGAAGCAAGATGTATGTTGACATAAGACTGATATCAAAAGTAATATCAACAACTAAGTTAGGGAAGGTGACTTGGCAGTTCTAGCAGCTGTGTGAGCCTGACTGCTTGTCAAGTGTCATCCTCACACTCCCCTTCAACGTCCAGTTTGTTAAAACAGAAAAATAGGTAGCGTTAGGAAAGAAACTCCAGGAGAAACTAGGGGCATGTTATCTAGGGGTTAATAATAACATTAGGCAAACATTTTGAAAGAGCTTATATACAGAAAACAGGAATGTGAAAGATACAATAAAAATAAATCGTTATATATGGAATGAAGCAAAACAGACATTGAAGTTCTAACATTTGATAGGATTACTTAATTTTCCACTGTCTAAACAATCAGAGTTACATACGTAGCTATGATACCTTAAGGAAACAAACTGATTAAGCATCCTGTTAACCAACTTAATCTAGTTAACGCTAAACCAAAAGAAAGGAGATAAAATGTCTAAAGCCACATTGCACATTAAAAATCTCACTACAGCAACTCACACATTAGACAAAGGACAAAAGAACTGTCACACAGCTGTGGAATGTTGTGATATGCACACCTACCGCAATATTTCCACATGTTTGGAAAGCAGTGAATATAAACATGAATGAGATTCCCAAAATAAGTACGTTGAAAAGTTTTTTTGAGTCAGGAGACATTTTGTGGGTTATTTTGCCAAGTTCTCAGCTTCAGTCTGGAAAAAAATCTATTTCCCTTTAAAAGTTTCCACTTAACTCCTGTTTAAAGAAATAAGAAGAAAAAAAAATAAAAAAACAACAACAACAAAAAATCCTTAAAAAATGACGATTTGTGAGAGCTACTTGTTAGCTGCTAGGATTTGTTTAAATAACATACAGCAAAGTCAGTAAATTGGAAGAATAAATAGATAGATACAAAAAGTAAAGATCAAAATTCTCTCTACCTTTTCCCATTAAGTTAAGAGAGCAGACAGCAGTATGTTACTTCTTCATGACATCTCATTCCACCCAAAGAAGCAGTTTTCCAAGCATCGAGATGGTTAATCAGCTGAGTTTCTTGCCATGGTTCTGGACTGGAATTCTGGTCAAAAGCCAGTAAATCACCTGACAAAGGACAGATGAGATATTCACACACACAAGTCATTTCCATGCATGCTGGACAGGAAATAAGGAACATTTCACAATACAGATCAGCTGACCCTGCCTAGAAAGCCCTCGTGCACTATGGGAAATGCAGTTTTATCACTGTATGCTTTCTTTTTTGACTTGAAAGTGCAGACATCTGCTAATCCTTAAAATTGAAAACACTTATCTAAGAAAAATGTCTAATTAGTTGGATTCCTACATAGAAAAGGTCACTCTGGAGGGCAAATAATTCCTCAAAAAAGAAACTTTTCAGTATCACCAACACAGAAGTTCTGCTTGGTGCTTTTGCCTTATCTTAGTGACTCTGGAGAAGGAATGGTCTGTATAATCTTCCACTGCTTCCTCTCAAGAAACATTCACTTTTAGTAATGTTTCACTACCCTGCTTTACAGTGGTTTTCAGTAATACATTCAAGATTGATTCATATTTTTACTTTGAAGCCCTCTGTCAAACTGTCAGCAAAACTAACACAGGGTAACACACTGGTATGGACAGAATGGCTGCTTGTTACTGTCAGTACCTTGTCTATATTCTGTATCCCCTGAGTCAGGAGTGGCACATTCTGCCTAACCAGCCCCATGAACTGCCAGACAAAGAGGAACGGATGAGAATTCAGAACTTAAGAAAACGGCAAATCAAAAAGTTTTATTCTTTACTTGTGGAAGAAAGTCAGCTTGACCATGCAGAGGCTACTTTACAAAGATCAAACAGCAATATAAAGGCGTTGCTTTTAATGTCAGCAAAGCTCCCTTTCTATATTAAGTATTTAAAACTAGACTGAATTTTTAAATCCAATTTTTACTTTAAGGCATTGCTAAACAAACAGACCCGTTTCCCTGCCCACAGCCAGAGCCCCACTCACTGGTGTGTGGGGACCATTCTGCTGACAGCAGCTCACACTTAAGGGATTGCCTTTTAGGCAACTGAGGGACACAGGGAACCACCTCTGTCATTTTAAAGAAATCACTGTAAAGATACAGACTTTAAATTCCTCCTGAGTGAAAGCATATCAGCAGATGAATCAGAAAGCAATGAATTCAAACTCTTTGAGCAGCAAAAGAACAATAACATGCAAATCAATACAGACATGAAAGCCAATCCCAAGTTATTCGATTTCCTAAATCTTTTCCATACGAAACAACCTGTTGCCTCTGGGTTTGTATCCAACTCATCACTGACTGAGCTTCCTTTCTCAGCCTTTTTTTTCCCCCCTTCATACCAAAACACCTTTCTTCATTCCATTTAAAAACAGCTTACAGAACAGACAGGGTAGAAACATTCACCACAGCATCGAGGTAAGAATTAAGCACTGCGGCTGCGCCCAAGGCAGGGAAGCGACCGCGCAGCGCGGGGGCAGCACCGCCCCCCCTCCCTCTCCCCCCAGTGTCCGCCATTTTAGGCCACCTCCTCCCGCGCAGGGCTTTTCCTTCACAACGATTTTCTTTTTTTTTTTCTCCACGCCGTAGGGTTTCCCGCTCCTCTGTCCCCTCCACTACAACGCCCAGCCCTCGACTTGTTTCTTTTTTTTTTTTTCGTTTACAACACGTTGTTTAAAATTTGCCTCCGCCGATTACTTCCGGGTCACCTCAGATCCGCTTCAACGGTCACTTTTAAGCGCGCGCACGCCGTTAATTTAGACACCTATTTTCCCCGCTACTTGCCGGGCCGCTCCGGGAACCGCGGTCAGGAATTTAAAAAAAAAGAAAAAAGCAGCGCTAAAAGCTGCGCGGTTGCTTCCGGTTTGCGCCCCACCGCGCGCGCCAGCGGCGCTTTCACTTCCGGGGCAGCGGCGGCCATTTTGTGGCGTTAAGTAGGCGCGCGCGGGCGGCGCCCCGCTCATTTTCTCGCGGCCGCGGGCAGGGCGGGTGGTCCGGTCGCTGCGTCTCCGTTGCGGCCTTGGGCCTCGTCCTTTTCTCAGAGCCCGAAGGTGGGTGCCTGCTCCTTCCCTCCCCGCCGAGGACCCTGCGGCTTTTCCCTATGCCCTGTAGCTCTCCTCCTTTCTGGACTCTGCGCGGCCGCCGCTCCGGCGCTCCTCCTCCCGTGTGAGGCGCTTCCCGCTCCGGGCCGCGCCGCCTCCAAATTCTCCTCCCTTCCCTCGGGTTTCTTCTCCTCAGCCGCCGCC